CAACTGTATTTATGCAATCAGTCCATCAAGGTTGACCAATGAGAGGCCCTGTATTCATATTAAAATGGTCTCTCTCCGATGACCACTCAAAGCACTTTACATTCACACAGTGCACTTTCTCTATGAGAAGGGGCAATATTGGTTTCAGTATCTTGCCCGAGGACACTTCGGCACACGGACTGGTGAAGACTGGGGATCAGACCACCAACCTTCTGGTTAGAGGACGACCGCTCTAACCCCTGAGCCACAGCTGCCCAAAAGATAAAAGAGGAAACAATGTGCACTTCTGATAATAATCTCATCCACTGTTTTCAATAAATAATTCACATCGATGTCTTTTTGTCGTTACCTGTTCTGTCGTGTTTTCACTTGCTCTGGTGTTGTGTAACAAAAGTGACTATGCATGTGTCTTTGATGTGCAGGGAGGGTGGAGGGACGGAGCATAGCTGTCAAAAGACTGTCAAGAATGTAGCCTGCACGGCTTTGTGGGGCGAACAAGAGCCATGTGAAAGTGAATGTGTGTGAGAGCGAGTCAGAAAGGGAGAGAGAGAGGGAGAGAGAGAGGGGGTGTGTTTTTATTACGCTGCTCCAGTTAGTGTGGGACCTTTCTCTGACAGTAGCACCGTGGTAAGAAACTTATTTTCCACTTTTCTTTCACTTTTAAAATGGTTTGTCTCGTAGATTAACTACAGTCGTTGTGCTGTGTGTAGGTAATAGTGTAACTGAATCACCAGAGACAGCTTGTACAACATGTTTTCATGATTTGTTTACTAGAGAAAATTAATTCTGTATGAAACTGACAGTTGAATGGTGATGAAAGGAGGAAAGAACTGTCATGGGTGTCAAAATGACAATGCACACAGCCTATAGAGAATCACTTCTTACCTCCTAAGTACATTAGTTAAAAATACTAACTGCTGCGAAAGTTTGTCGTGTTAGTTTGAATGTCCTTTAGGAGGATTTGTCCGCTTTAGCGTGATTTTAGATTTGGGTCAAATCTCCGAAGAGGCCAAATCAGCCATATAGCTTTGCCCGGAGTCAGTTGGAAAAAAAACGATCCAATTTATGCAGTTTCACACTGAGAACTGTCTCAAAAAGTAGTTGCAGCTGATGTCAAATAAAAACCATCACTTTGCTGAGGAATGAGGAAGGAGAAGTAATTATTTTAAAGGAAAGTTGATCCAACTGACAAAACTTTATCTCTTCAATCTTTTCTGCTTCATTGTCAGAGATGAAATGTCAGAGATGAGATCATCTGATAAGTGTGTGCTTGCAAAACGCTGCCGAATTTCCAGCTGCATCACTCTGTCACTCTTCAAACGCTGCGGTTATGCAAGACTTCTAAATGTTATCTCACTACTTAAGATAAAATCGCATCTTCTGCTGACGAATCCACCGAGTCTGGGTGTGCTGGAAAGTCCAAGAAGTGAACAGTGTGTGTGTGCGTGCGTGTGTGTGTGTGTGATTGGTGGCTCACAGCTTGAGACAGTGAAGTGGCTCTCGAAGTGTTGGCGGCTGAGGAATCTGACCCATGAATGATTCTGATTGTCTCCTTTCAGTTTGGCCCGTTGAAAGAGTGGGATCACGTGTGACAAATCACACACTGTTCCGGTAGTAGAGAACATTTCGAAGGTTGCGTTTCAATCTTTTTTCCCATGACATGACGGTAAATATCAGATCACGCTTCACCAAAGCAATGTTGCTGAAGGCCTCTCGGCCCCCTTTATTATTCATAGTTCACATTTGAGTCACAGGGGTTCTGTGTGTTTGATAATAAGCTTTGGAACAAAATTGACACGAATGTTAGAGATGGAATGAGAACGGTGGACGATAACTCCACTGAGTCATCGCTCAGGTGGAAACGAGTAAACAGACAGATCGATGCAATTATTGGCATCTCCATGGCAGGCAGCCGAGAGGTTAATCCCCCAGTCTCCACATCCTGCTGCGGGTTCGATTGACACAGTCAGACCTACTGCTGCTCTTTCATACTTGCACACACACACACACACACACAGCACATCAATATTGTATGAGCAGGGGGGGGGGGGTGCAGGAGTCTGGGTTAGTTGACATTGTAATTTACTGCACACACGCCCATTTGAGTTTCTCTTGCAGTTTCTCTGTGTGTCCTCAATTCCTTTACCTCCATCAGTGATCACTTTTCTGTTTATTACATTCCAACCATCTGCTCCAGCTCCAATTAAATGGCTGCAGGTAGTGAAACTCTGGCGTCTTTTTTTACGAGGCGGCCTCCAGAGAGAGCCAGTCTCTGGCTCTGTAACCAGAATACAGGGTTTCCTACATAAATAATGAGGTGCAGATGTCAGCTGCGATATGGCCGCACTCATGTTTTATACAACAAACTTTTTGTTTTTTACTTGATATCGTCCTCACCTTGTTTCACCACTTCTTCACTGCCTGGCTGTGGCAACGGACAAAACCAAACGAAAGTCTTGTTTGCGTCCTTGTACGTGTTTGTGTTGCAGGAAACAAATAAATCAATGCTGAACAGAAGTCATTTATATTTCACAAAACCTGGAGAGTGTTAATGGGCTTCTCTCATTGTGAAAATCTTTCTCAAGGTGATCAGAAGAAATCACTGCGATGACTATATTAATTATATAACAGGGGTGGATCCAGGGGTGGGGCCAGGGGGGCCTAAGGTGCCCCTGCCCTGTCAGTACTTTTTCCTTTTTAATAAACCAGTGACTTACTAACAACACTAACAATAAATAGGATAATTCATTATGAAGCTTTTTTGAAGTACACAATGTGCGTGAACAAGGATCACCTCTCAAAATATATTCGATGATGTGTTTGACGTATTTCCGTCTGTATGAGATGTGACAGCTGCAGGACGATGTAGAGATAAAGGCAGTTATATATTTCTTCACAACAAATTAATTAAAAAAAAAAAAAAACAGGCTTGTGGCTCCCTCATCCTGTGTTGCATGTATTTTGGGTTTCTGTGACTCAGTTGAATGAAAATACCATCTGTGCCTGCTGATGTGAATGACAGAACGTTGGGGCTGTGTCGCTGCCTGCAGCATCTACCTGTTGGCACTGCGCTGCAGCACCCCTGTGGATAGTTTCCATTCCTTAAAAGGAGCTGTTTCAAGCAGCTCTGAAGTAGAATATTCTTTTCACACCATTAAATTAAAACAATAATTAAAGAGTAAGATGGTTAATTCAGGCCTCTGCTGTTAAAACAAACTATGCTTTAGACTACACAGTATTTGTGTGGCTGCTTCCGCGTGAATACATTTTGTTTTTTAACTGTTTTCACAAGTATTATGCATTCTGTCATTCACAACCTGTGGAGCATCTTCAACACCCACCTCAATGGTGATAACAGTCAATACATCGTCATGGCAACTACGCTTCTCATCCTAACAACTGCCTCACCGCCCACAGAGGTCCCACAGCAACCGTCACCAAGCAACCCCCTCCCTCTTCTCAGTTTCTCTATTTAAGGAGCAGAGGAGGAGGAATGATAAATGATACTGCACAGGGAAAAAAAATTAGGGAGAGATGTTGAGAGTTGTGCAAAATGACTTGTTGCTTGTAATTGATTTTGCTTTGAAAGGAAACAAATCACAACTTGTTAATGTTGTGATGGATTTCTTGCGAATACTTAAAATATCAATATGTGGGTTTGCTGTTGAATATTTAAAACCTAGCTCAGCTGTGGTGATGTGCACTCTCCTGTAGGTGTCAGAGTTGTGTAATTGTATCTCTGGGCTTATGCAACATAATGGAAGTTATCCTCAGTGTTATTGTTGGACTCAACAATCATTTAGCCAGGTCATGTGTTGCTGGGCACAGGATGTCCTGCCGAAAGACGCTGTATTGTATATCTTCCTCTCAGGGAAGTGACTGTGGTGTTTGTATTGCAGTTGTATTATATGCAAGATAAAAACTGAAAGCAATTAAAATTCCTACAAGATATTTCCATGTTCCCTTAGAAGGCTTTTCCTGAATTATTTTGAACGACAAAAGTCCAACACAGGAAACTTCTGGTGGAACAGTGACAACTCATGGAGGGAGGGGAGCGGATATTCTTTTTATGTCATCTATGCAGAATCAAACGCCCCCTCACATCCCTGACCCTGGCTCCCTCCTCTCTGCCTTATTATGGGACAGAACACAGCTGACAGAAGGGGGTGTGGCTAACACAAGCAGGAAATACAGGCGGAGCATGTGACTATAAAGTTATTCTCCCACACACTCACTGACTTTTTGTTTCGGCTGGATTTTGTGGGTCACAACAGGATTTCTGCGTGGACTTCCCTGAATCTGGATATGTTCTGTGACTATTGCTTCGCTGACTGCAGTTAGGATCGCTCCAGTTTGTATCCAGACAAACCACACTGGTTGCAAATCTTGTGTCTGCTCTGTTTTTGTCTGCCTCTGTGACAGCCTGAGTGAAAGTGACTCTGGGAGGAGATGTTAAATGCATGTGTCATGTCTCATGGTATTTAATAGCAAGCTGTTCTACACCTGCTGCTGACAGAAACAACCTGGTTTTTCCAGTCAGTATGCTGTTGCTGGTATGTGGCAGTGGAGGTTTGTGTTTTGGTGACTGATGATTCCTCAAAATGTGCTGTCACTGCTGCATTTCTTGGAGGAGGAGGGAATAAGCAGTAAAAGACACAGAGGCATAAACAAGACAAGGCTTGGCTGAACGTAGTAGCACATTAACTCATCCTCTGAACTCATTAAAGGAAGGAGATAAAGAGCAGAGGCCTCTCTGTTGGATCACCTTTAGTATACACAGGGAATGTTGTCAGCATTTGACACTGCCTTGATTTACCAGTGATACAAGTTCATCATGAGTTCCACTAAGAGATGGTTAGTCCCACGTCGCTCTAGAGTCTACATGTAAGTCCTTATGTCCAAACCTGCTCTCTCATTTATTCACTAGTTTGCGCTTAACGCTCAAGTTTGGTGTAACTTTTGGGCACTGACCCATTCTAATGCCTTCTACTCTTTCTCAGTGTGGAAGGGGAGTCCCAGTGTCCGGAGACGGGCACCCACAAAGACAGCTCTTTCGGCCAGACACCCTACCTGCGTGGCTCAGAGCGCTACAGTGACAGCGGCGGAGGCAGCAGCGTACCCCCTGGAACCCGGGGCCCTTCGTGCGTGGCCACCTCCAGCTCAGCCAGCTTGGCCTGGGCGCTACGGACACGCCACCAACCTGCAAGTCTGGCCCTCCGCAAGCAAGAGGAGGAGGAGAACAAGAGATGCAAGGCCCTATCAGACAGTTATGAACTCTCAACAGATCTGCAGGATAAGAAGGTATCCATGCTCTGTTGGTCTGAGGATAAATGTCCCAAATGTTTGTGTTTCCTAGAAGCCATGAGCACCAAACACCATGTAGAGAGTGAATATACAGACAGTGCATATTTGATGTGAGTTCATCCTTGGTCTCTTCTCCTCACCCTCTGCCAGGTGGAGATGCTGGAGAGAAAGTACGGTGGCTCCTTCGTAAGTCGCCGAGCAGCGAGGACCATTCAGACGGCCTTCAGACAGTATCGCATGAACAAGAACTTTGAGCGCCTCAGAAGCTCCGCGTCAGAGAGCCGCATGACCCGTCGCATCATCCTCTCCAACATGAGACTGCAGTATTCGTTTGATGAGCGGCAGCCTCAGCAGCAGGCCCAGACACAGACCAACTTCACCCACAGCGTGGCCATCGGGCCTCCTCATTCCCCCGACACAGACCGCACAGGGGAATACACCCATTTAGAGGACTCCTTCTCCAAACAGGTAACACTGTGAGGGCACCTCTGTTCTTTGTTGTGTGTTGTAAAAAACAAGCTTAAGTTCATTTAGTTACAATGAATATCTAAAAGTTATTCATATAGAAAAACAGACACAGAAGAAACTAGAATAGCACTTAGTAGAGCGCACACCTCCACCAAGTCCCCTTAAATTCAGTCAAGCAGCACCACATTGGACACAATCTCCTAAATATGCCTGATAGTATTTATCTAGATCCATTCATTATTCTCTGCTGGAAAATCTGTAAAAGTGTCAACGAAAGCCCTATTCTGGGATTGGCACCAAATGTTATTGGATTCTCTCTTGACTTATATCACATCCTTTCACCAAGTTTCATGGTAATCCCTCCATTTATTTGTGTGCACTGTTGCTAACCAACAAACATATAACCAGTGTACTGAAGTTTTCTTTCTGACTGGAGGCTCTGAAATAGGAAGGAACGGGATGTGTGTATTCAGTCCTGCTAACTGCGGTTCCGCTTTGTCTTTTCTTCTAGGTCAAGTCCTTAGCTGACTCGATAGACGACGCCCTTACCTGCCGCGCGGGTCGCGATGACTCCCAGGAGGGCAGCAGGGAGGGAGGAGGTATAAGCGAGGACTTTGGCGAGTGTGTGTGGAGCAGTAGCAGCAATCCATCCTCCCAGAGAGGTCTGGGAGAAAGAGCCAGGGGAGCTGGAGGAGGACTCAGTATGCACGGAGACAGCACGGCCACATCGTACAGTGATGTCACCTTATACATGGATGATGGGATGCCGTCGTCACCCCTGTCCCTCGACCGGGCACCCAGCAGCACAGACACAGAGTACTGGGGCCCCGGTGGTGGTGTTGGAGGGCGTGAGGACAGCAGGGACACAGAGGGAGGGGGTAGCAGTAACAGCCGGCGTAGCACCCCATGCACAGAGTGCAGGGACTATCGTCTGAGGGGCGCACATCTGCCTCTCCTCACTATTGAGCCGCCCAGCGACAGCTCAGTGGACATGAGTGACCGTTCAGACCGAGGCTCTCTGAGCAGACAGCTGGTCTTCGAGCAGGAGCCTGGTGTGGGAGCTGGCTCCCCTCAGGGAACCCTCAAACACTCCCCCAACACCGGCGCCCGCCAGGCCTCCACTGCAGCTGCCCAGGGTCAGACACGGGCTCCCAGCAGACCCATACCAACACATATCCCTCACCAGGTGGCCCCCCACCACCACCATCACCACCATCCTATCCACCACCATCAGTACTCAGACACACCTTCATCCTCCTCCTCGCCGCAGCAGCCCCCCACCACCCCACTCTCCTCCTCCTCCTCTACAGCTCTGCCCCCTGGAGGCCTGGAGCAGCCATGCTGCTCAGACGGAGACAATGACTCACTCAACTCCACCACCAACTCCAACGAGACGGTCAACTGCAGCTCAGGCTCCTCATCTCAGGACAGCCTGCGGGAGCCTTTACCTCCTCTGGGCAAGCAGACGTACCAGAGAGAGAGCCGCCACAGCTGGGACTCTCCGCCCTTCAACAGCGATGTGGTGCAGAGGCGCCAGTACCGCATAGGCCTCAACCTCTTCAACAAGTAAGATGTGGCACTGAACAGCAAAAGAACCCACGAGTAGATGTTTCAATCGGATTGCAGTCAAACTAATGAAACTGTTTTTTGTGTTGCCTTGATAGGAAGCCAGAGAAAGGGATACAGTACCTGATTGAAAGAGGGTTTGTCTCTGACACTCCAGTGGGGATTGCTCGCTTTATCCTAGAGAGGAAGGGCCTGAGCAGGCAGATGATAGGAGAGTTTCTGGGGAACCGGCAGAAACAATTTAACAAAGATGTTTTAGAGTGAGTATGAGAATTTAGTCCAAACTCAGATCGAGGATGCTTGATTTAGACAGGGGGTGGAGTAGGGGAGGTGTGACTGTGACCTCTGCTGTGTGTTTTTCAGCTGTGTGGTGGATGAGATGGACTTCTCAGGTATGGACCTGGATGACGCTCTAAGGAAATTCCAGGCTCAGATTAAAGTTCAGGGTGAAGCCCAGAAAGTGGAGAGGCTCATTGAGGCTTTCAGGTTGGTCTGTGTTGAACACGATGGATTTACTCTAGAGAAGCCGAAGATTATTTCTGTCACTATGGCTGACGTATGAAAAATGTCATGTTTGAACTTGTCCTTTCTGTCTCATATGCAGTCAGAGATATTGTGTGTGTAATCCCACCCTGGTTCGGCAGTTCCAGAACCCGGACACCATCTTCATCTTGGCCTTTGCCATAATTCTCCTCAACACAGACATGTATAGTCCCAACGTCAAAGCTGAGAGGAAGATGAAACTGGAGGATTTCATCAAGAATTTGAGAGGTGCTCACACACGTGACACTTAAGATTATGAAACACTTAAAGTTCCTTTTTAATATTTATATTAACATTTTAATATTCCGTTTTTACGTAATGTGGTTTTTGAGTAACACTCTAAATGAGGTTCAACAGTCAATATGTTTTTGATGGATTTATATGCATTTAGACACCAAGTGTAATTTTTGTGTTTTTACCAGCTTTATCTTGTATGAAATTTCTAAATATCACTACATTTTTTTCCCCATTAGATAAACTGTATAACTTCTTTTGATGATTTCCTTTTCCCCGTCTCCACCCAAGGCGTTGACAATGGTCAGGATATACCCAGGGACCTGCTGGTTGGGATCTACCAGCGGATACAGAAATGGGAGCTACGGACCAATGATGACCATGTGTCCCAAGTGCAGGCGGTGGAGAGAGTCATCGTGGGCAAGAAGCCTGTGAGTGTCCCCAACCCCTGACATGACCTCTATTAGTGTTTGTTGTGACAACAGAATGTGGAGGTATAACCTGCATTGAAATAACTCTTTGTCCATGTAGGTGCTGTCCCTTCCCCATCGCAGGCTGGTGTGTTGCTGCCAGCTCTACGAGGTGCCCGACCCGAACAGACCTCAGAGGACGGGAGTGCACCAGCGAGAGGTCTTCCTCTTTAATGACCTTCTGGTGGTAAGACTCACATCCATCACTTTTAAGACATGGCAGATCCTGTCATAACTCATGTATTTCAGCTAAAAGCCTCTGTATGAAATATGCAATCTCTCTTGTGCAACAGGTGACCAAAATCTTCCAGAAGAAGAAAACCTCAGTGACTTATAGTTTCAGACAATCGTTCCCTTTGGTTGAGATGCAAGTGCACATGTTCCAGAACTCGTGTAAGAAGCCATTTGTCCTTTTGCACATTTCAACTATTTCAACTAGGTGGTTAAGGCTTATATTTCTCTCCGTTTGCGTCTCTTAGACTACCCTCATGGGATCCGCCTGACCACAGCAGTCCTGGGAGGGGAGAGGAAAGTTCTTATCGTCTTCATGGCACCCAGTCAGCAAGATCGCACCCGCTTTGTGAGCGACCTCAGGGAGAGCGTTGCTGAAGTGCAGGAGATGGAGAAATACAGAGTCGAGTGTAAGTACCCCATCTACTGATGATTACTGTGAACTGCACTTTGTAGAAGGCATCATACATCTGCCAAGGAGGTTACGTTTGTCACCCTTGTCCATTGGTTTATTTGATGGTTTGTTTGTCAGCAGGATTACGCAAAAACTGCTCAGCATATTTTCATGAAACAAAGGGACGAATCCAAAAAATTCCAATGTGAGATTTACCAATTTCCGAGGGAATAATTGATGGATTTTGATGAGAAACAATCAAGCATATTTATGGGATTGGTGTCTTTGAGTGTGTGAAATTTGGTGCAGATTAATTAGGGAGTATGTCAGTTTTTAGTGCATTTTATGTTTATTCTACTTTGAGCTATTTGAATTCTTTGTATCTGTTTTATTGCTACTTTGCTCTATGCTGCTGTATCAATATATTATCTATCTATTTATTCAGTTTAAGAGGATTGTCAGGTGTGTGCTCACCTGAGTGCCATCTCAGTTGTGTTTTTGAGAAAAATTAAAGTTGGTCAAGTGTTTCTTGTTGTCAGATTATGCTCTTCTGCGTGCTGTGTCTCCCTCCCATTTGAAATTCCCCTGTGCCCTCTGCGTTTAATCACAGCGGAGTTGGAGAAGCAGAAAGGTGTGATGCGACCCAGTTTGCTGACAGGAGGTGTGGTTGGAGGAGGTGTTGGAGTTAAGAGCGATGTTGTGAACGGCACCCTGGGAAGGACGAGTTTCGATGACAGCGTGGGTGAGGGTCTGAAACGCACAGCGCTCAGCTCATCTCTCAGGGACTTATCGGAGACAGGTGAGACAACTGAGCCTCGGAGACAGGGGAAATTCCATTTCCTTCCTGTCAGCTGGGTTGAATTGGGTATCAGAGCTCTGTTTCTATTGCTACATCCTGTTCCTCTTTCTGGCTGACATTCAGACACAGCATATGCAGATCTTATCTTTTGAAATAAATGTGAACAAATATTTCAACCTTCCGCTCTTTGCTGACATGATTCTTCCTGGTCGGGTGCAGGGAAACGTGGTCGCAGGAACAGTGTTGGTTCTCTGGACAGTACCATGGAAGTAAGTCTAGATGGAGACTTTAGTAGACCTACATTTCCCCTCACTCGTGCTTTATCTTCCTGATCACGCTCAGTGTGTGTACAGTGTGCATAGAGATGGTGTGTATACGTGTACATGCATGTGCGTGTGTCCATCTGTCCCGGACCTGACACCCTTTGCATGGCTGTGAGCGTTCACATCTTCCCAAGCATGTCTCTCCTCTCCTGAAATATTTCCTGTGTATGATGATGTTAGTAGGAATAGGAGCTTTATTTGAGTCCTCCAAAGAATGATGATGACTTTATCCTCCCAGGGCTCCATCATTAGCAGCCCACAGCCTCACCAGCGCTATCAAGTGCCAGGTGTCGTTCCTGGCTGCTACGGAACAGAAGACTTCCGGCCTCACCGCCCCATCCTGAGCCCCGGAACGGGGGTGGGGGGTGGGCCGGGGCAGCAACATACCACTGCTGGGACAGGAGTTGGGGGAGTCTCCAGCAGTGCAGAGAGAGCAGGAGCGGGGAGCGTCCCTGGGGGGAGCAGCAGCAGCAGCAGCAACAACAACAGCAGCTCCTTCCTGGGCTCTCTTTTCGGCAGCAAACGCGCCAAACCACCAGGGCCCCTTATTCCACCGGGGCCACCTTACCCCGCACCTGTCCCCCCACTGACTACAGGAGGGCCCCCTCCTCACTCCCCTT